TAGCGGAAGATTCACTCTCGGTTTGCACATTTCGAGAGTAGTGGAGCGATCCCCATGGTCACGCCCTTTTGGCGAACCACGGCGACAGCCACAGACGCGGTTCGGTCCTTTTTTTTTAATAATTATAAGAAAGGGCGATGTTCTGTCCTCGGCCTTGCTGCGTCCGGTTTTTTTATTTTTTATTTTACTTTTTCCTTCTATATTTGCAGCTGGCGAATCTATTGGCATTGGCATTGAGCAAAGGCGATCTATATTTGCCGTATCTAGCTGCTACTAGGGTAGTAGGCGTATAGGCGTATTTTTAGCTCATGTTGTGTCTACTTTTTTCCTTGTGGTGTTTACCTCAGGCTTCCTGGGTCTGTCATTAGACGTGTCAGTAAGTGCAATAGCTGTGTCAGTGTGTGTCAGATATTCTATTTCCTATTTACTGTTCACTCATCACGTCATTTTTTGACCCTTTTTTTCTTTTTTTCTTTTCGGCTGAATGCTCCTGTAACTTGTATATAGCCCGGGGCAGGGTCCCACTTGCACGGATTAGGAGATTGCGGCCGTTGATCTTCGCTATCGACGGTCGATATGGCATAATTCGTGCAAGCGGGACCTGGCCCCCGTTCGAGCCGCTGCGGTCGGCTGATGGCATTGTTTGCGGGCTGACCACTTCGTTGACTACGCACCCCGTGCCGCTCGTTGAACTGCGCCGGCGGTACAAGCAAAGAGGGCGGCAGCAGGAGGCACACAGGGTTTTTGGGCATTTGGGCGGCAGTTACCCACCGCCGCACACGCGCTTCCTTTTCGCTTTTTTTTTGGTACTTGTCTGCGGGTTCTCCCTGCCCTCACATCATTGCCGACTTGTTCTAGCGGGAAGTTCATTCCCATTTTGCACATTCCGAGAGTGGTGTGGCGATGCCCTTGTGTGCACGTCCCGCCCCTCGCCCCTCTCCCCCTCACTACCTACTGCGGTCAGGGAGTTGAATTCAAATATATAGCAGTTCGCCAACACTATTGGCCTTTTTCTCCGATGCGTATGTTCTCCGATGCGTGTGTTGCTGTTCCCGACGTTTGTCTGCGCGCCACTTGTGCTCGGACAGCACAGCACTTGGCACTCGCATTGCCGTCACACCGCCGAGAGCAGCGGGTAACGCGCGATATCGCTGCTGGATGGGGCGAAGCTTTTAGACACTGTCCGAGAGAGGAGGAGGGCAAAGCAGCCGCCATATGTTCAGGACTTTTCAGGACGTATCGGACCTTGATCACGGCCAAGGGGGTCGTCACGGCACAGACCTGGCGCAGTTTTTTCCTGGACGTATCGGACCTTGATCAAGGCCAAAGGGGAGGCTTTGGGACACTGTCCGAGAGAGGACGAGGGCAAACCAGCCGCTATATGTTCATGACTTTTCTGGACGTACGGACCTTGATCACGGCCAAGGGGGTCGTGACGGCACAGGCCTGGCGCAGTTTTTTCTGGACGTATCGGACCTTGATCATGGCCAAGGGGGTCGTTACCGCACAGGCCTGGCGCAGGCTTGAGGCGTAGGACGCAGAACGACCTTCGGACCTCAGGGACAAGCTCGGCGGCTGGCTCCGCTTGTGTTATGTAACACAGGGCGGACAACCAGGGTTCATCTGTCTTCTCTCCTCCTCTCGTAACCATATATTATGCTTCGTATGCAGGAAGGTGGTATTTGCTGAATGTGACAGACAACGAAGGCAGAGAGCAGACACGCGCGCACACACAGACGAAAGAAGACAGCACACGTTCGCGCAGCCGCTGCTTTCATCCCTCCCGTCTTCTTTCCTGCTCGGGATTTTTCCGCGTTCGTTCCTTTTCCTTGCGCTCAGTTGGTCTATTGGATGCGCCCCAGGGGCTAGGTCCCACTTACACGAATTAAGCGACATTGACCGTAGATAGCAAAGATCAACGGCCAGAAACTCGTAATCCGTGCAAGTGGGACCTTGTTCCGGTGGAGGTCCAGTTTGCCGGTTGGCGAGGGACCAACCTACGTGCTGCTGCCTACGGGCAGCGTACTGTGTGTAGAACTCGGAAGTAGATTATCCTCAGCCTGTGTAGGGCGAGGAGGGGAGAGTAACGCGGGGAAGTGTTGTCCAACAAAGCGGCATATTGGTGGGGAAAAGCTGCAGCAAAGACGGGGGCAAGAGGAGAGAGCGAGGGAAAGGGAAGAGGAGGAGGAGGAGGAGGAGGAGTGTGGACGGAGGGGGGAGGGAAGAGGGAAAGGGAGGAGGGTTTGGAAGGTGTGGACAAGTAGTGGATTGATTCACCAAAATCGCCGCTTGTCTCTGATATTCCTCTCGTGCTTACGAGGAGGAGACGGGATCGGCTGAACAGTATATTGCTTGGCTGACATCATCAGACGGGCTGGAGACGTCGTGAGAGAAGCTTGCGGTCCTCCCCTATCGATTTTCCGTGCTGCCCCACGCGGGACCGCCGGGTCCTCCTCTGCGCGAACAGCGCCGGCCCGCGCGCGGTCAGGCGGTCAGTTTTCCGGACTGTCGTGAGGACAGGTGGAGTGCGTAGGTTTCTAGGTGTATCTTTGTGGAAGCACCAGCTGCGGCTGGCTTCTACTCTCTTCTCCTTCCTTTCTTTTTTGTTTTTTTTTTTCGGATCTCTTCTCCTTCCTTGTTGGTGTGTCGAGTTGTTTGCCTTTCAAAGGAAATTTCGTGGTCTCCTTGGCCAGCGAAGCGAGGGATTCAACACAGTCGTTCCCAGCCTAGTCGACTCCAGAACCCACTAGAGTGCGCACACACACACACACACACACACACACAGAGAGAGAGAGAGAGAGAGAGAGAGAGAGAGAGAGAGAGAGAGAGAGAGAGAGAGAGAGAGGCGCGGTCTACCTGGCGTGGCGTGGATTGGACTGGACGGGAAGGAGCAATGAGCGGGAGCACGGCGAGGGGGGCGAGACTCGTCTGGAAAATAGGCGCGGCGAAGTTGCGCCGTTCCGCGAAAGTGGGTACGGTAGTAGTGTAGTGTATGTAGCGTGGGCCTTCGGCCTGCTAGATAGATAGGGAGTGGGGGGTGCTCGTTGTTCGGCATTTTAGAGTCGTGGCTGCGGAGTGGCTGCAAGGGGCAGAAAGAGAGGAAAGAACGGTGCAGCGCGGGGAAGTGAGAGCAGGTAGTGACCCCTCCGTCGCTGTGCGTGTTCCTGCATCACGCCTGCCGATGAGGAATACTTAGTGGTTAGTTGAAAGTAGAGAGCCGAAGATCGGCTTACGGACTCCGAGACGAAGACAGGTGGAAGACAGACGGAGGACTCATTGTTTGCTGTTGTGCGCGAATAGTTTTGGAGAGTCTTTCGCTGAACACCGAAGTCACGACATTGCGTCGAGACGTCCGGCCACGTCTCGCTACTTTTGCTGCATAATCACTGGTCGACATCGTTTCTCTCTCTCTCTCTCTCTCTAAAAGTGTGCTGCTGCGCCATTGGGCATTTCACTCTTCTGAACGCTACAATCGCTGCCCGGGTGGAGTCGGATCCCTTTTTCTGGTTGGCCTCCGTCTTTGTCTGACGTGGATGCATTGCTGTGGTATTGAACAGGAGGGCCCCTGTTGAGGTGAGGTGAGCCACAGGGTGGGGTGGGAGGGGTTGCTGGGCGGCGGGCGTGTGTGTTGGGGGCGGGTGGGGCGCGGGGGGGGTTGAGAGGTCGAGCAGAGCACGCAAAGGATAAGGAGGGAAGGAGGTGTTATTGAGAGAGCTTGATCGATAAATCTTGGCAATTCGCTCCGGCCTTGGTGTGCTTGGAACTGCCTTCACGAGCGCCATTGTCTGAAGGTGGTGCACTATAGCAGCCATTGGAAAGGGTCTCGTTGGTCTTCGGAAGGGGGGAGGGGGAATAAAGCAGGATCGTTATCTTCTTTCCCCGTCGAAGTGTCATTCAGCATTTGCGTGGGGGGAGCTGGCGGAGGGGCGGGGCTAGCGGGGTGGGTGGAACAGCGTTGAGGTGGGAGTGGTGGGCCAGAGACGCTGCAGCTGCGGTGGATCTGCGAGACAAAGCGAGGGAGCGAGGACAGAGACAGCGAAGATAGAGGGAGAAAGAGCGGGAGAAAGGCGAAAGAGGGAGTGGGTGCCGCAAGCGGCTTACCGAGGAGAAGTGCGACTTCCTGTCTTGAGGTACACTTGAACTTGAATAGATAGGCGTGTATAATTGAACGCGTGTATAATTTACTACCGGTAGTTATTGGGTTGAGAAAGAAGAGTTGTGCTCTAGCAGAAGGAGGAGCAAGGAAGCCGGCCAGCATCAGCACATCCACTGTCGATCGACTAGGATCATGGAAGCGTCGGAGATTTCTCGTGTTCTTCGCGCACCGCATTTGTCGGGTCGCCAGGAAGAGGCGAGCAGCAGCAGCAGCGGTCGCTTAGGACCGTCGTGGCTGAAGTCTTTGCTCTCGGCTTCGTTCTTCGCGCACTGTTCTCGACATGCCGGAGGGCACAAGAGCGAGTGCAACATGTTTTGCATTGATTGCGAAGATGGCGCTCTCTGTTCCTATTGCACCTCTACCCATTCCGGTCACCGCATTTTGCAAATCCGTCGCTCGTCGTATCACGATGTGGTCCGCGTGGCCGATATCCAGAAGCTTCTCGACGTGTCGCAGATTCAGGTCTATGTCATCAACAGTGCGAGGATCGTCTTCCTGAACGGCCGGCCGCAGTCGAAGCCCGCCAAAGGATCGGCGTACGTGTGCCGCACGTGCCATCGAAGCCTGCTGGACTCGTCGCGATACTGCTCGCTTGGGTGTAAGCTGACCGGCATAAAGCGGCAAATGGCAGGAAGACGAACACCGACAACGACGATGATGGAGAAGCTTCAGATGGCGGCGGGAGAGAGAGGGGGAGATGCAAATGATGCAGGTGGCGGGTCGGACGATGATGATGTGTTCGAGAGCCGAGAGGACGACGATTGGGCCAAGGGATTGACCCTTCAGCTTGCCTCTCGGGAACATCATCATCATCACCAGCATCATAATCACCACCATCACAATTATCACAACGGCTATCAAAGGGTGAGAAGCGGGAATGCAGCGGGGGGAGGAAGTCGAGAGGCGGCGGCGGAGAATCCTTACGACGCCGATCAGCGGCAGCAGCAGGTGGAATACCACCACCATCACCAGCAGCAGCCGCAAACGCAGCACCAACGGCAAAGGAGCGAGCCGAAGCCTTGCGATTCGGAGGAGTCGGTGGAGACGTCGAGGAAGATCATGAACTGGCGCAAGAGAGTGCTGCCTCCGCTGAAGACGTGGGGCAATGTTAGGGAGGAGTCTGGGGAGGGAAGAGAGGAGAGCACGGAGGGTGAGGCGGAAGAAGGGGAGGTGGATGAGCGATCTTCATACCTGTCGGTAGTGCCACCGTCAACCCCTCCTCAGGTTGTCCAGGATGATCGAAGGGTGGGACTTAAGAGAAGAAAGGGAACGCCCCATCGAGCTCCTCTTTGGTGAAAACAGCTGTGGCCATGATGGTCCCAGAAAGGGGAAAGGAGGATGATGGGCAGATAGAGAGAGGGGGGTGAACAGAGAAGGGACACAGCGTGACCATAAGGGACGGTATTGGAGCTAACGGAATGCCTCATTCGTTTTGCTTCCTTTTCCGTCCGTTCCCTTGCGCGTTCTGTTCTGCCTTTGTACAGTTCAACGAGAATGATTGTATTGTTACGCTTTTGCTTTTTTCTTCTTTTTTTTTTTTGAGTGGTTTTTTCGTTTGCTTGTGCTTTGCGACGTAGATCAGGATATGGTTTAGGAGTCTTCTCTCTCTGTGTGTGTGTGTGTGTGTGTGTGTGTGTGTGTGTGWGAGAGAGAGAGAGAGAGAGAGAGGGCAATGTACAGCATAGAACGTAGAGGATAGCGCTGTTCGTGAACGCTCGCGTTTTACTATTTTTACCATGGAATTGCTATGATCACCGGCGAAGGTTGGACAAAATGTTGGCCTAGCTGCTGATGGGCGGGGGAGGAATTGGAAGCGGGAGTGCTCGGGGGGGCCACGGGGGTCAGGAGCGGGGTGAAGAGGGCCTGCAGAAAGTCCGATGCGGGCATTCAAGAAGGCGAGAGATGTGTAGATAAAGGGCTCAGCGGAAAGCGTTTGGGAATCGCATTGTCGTTAGCGAAGCCTGGCTTTGTCTAGAAATTTCCCCATTCGAGTTATTATTAGCTGTTTAGTCCGAAATGGGATGATGAACGACGTGCGCTGGTTGCTTCAACGGTGAATGAAAGTACGACTCGAGGCCCAACCAGGAGTACGGATGCATTCGGTCGGAAAAGGGGAATGAGAGGGCGTTTGTGATGACTCTGAGAGAGAGAGAGCGGAGGCCAGCTGCTTGAAGGGGTGTATATTGCACACCTGGCCTGCGACGCCGTCATCCACAGATTATAATTCGTGCTAAATTGTGCCTTTATTACGGGATCGGAGGCAGGAATTCGAGAATTGGAAGGAGGTTGTCGACGTGGCTCGCGGGTTGGGCGACACGTGGAGGTCACCCGTCCGCCTTTGGCCGGTAATCGACAGCAGAAGGACGATTTGGAACTCTTATGGTTTCTCTTCGCAGGGTTCGCGTTATTGGCTCTCTATGGAACTCATGAGCGGCTTTGAGAAGTTGGCTGGCTATCTGTAACCGCGCGGCCGGTTTGAGACGACTGATAATGACTACTATAAAAGCATTTGGCTGGTTGTATGTATAACCGAGGAGGGAGGGAGGAGGGAGGGTGATGAGACAGAGAGACTGAGAGTCCGGAGTGGTGTTCTTCTGAAGATCGGAAATCAGCGGGAAAAGGTGGCACGAGGGTGGTTGTCGGTTTGTCAGGGGTAAGAGTCGCGGGTTCGATGACGAAAGAGTAGGGGGCGGGGGGGGGGGCGGGGCCGGCCTGGCGGCGGCGGCGGAGGGGCGGACAGTTATGCGGAAGAGTGGGAGGGTGGGGTCTTACAGAGAGGAGGAATGTGGTGCTGCAAAGGAGTGTGAGAGAGGAAGGAAGACGATGGTCAGTGGAAGGAGGATACAAACGCTTGGGCTCGTTGAAGTGTGTGTGTGCGCTAAACGAGGGCGGCTTGGGTACAGGATTAAATTCCCTTTTGTTTTTTAATTGTAAAATTGCCAGCCTGCTTGTTATCGATCGTGTTTGGGCCGTTGATCAGCGGTGATGACTGGGTGGGCTCAGCTGATCGAGTCCATCGGTCATCACGGCCTGATCAACGGGTCGTCTTTGCTGTTGAATTTGCCGGCATCGCGGCCAATCCAGGAATCTTGTTCTTTTTTTTTTCTTTCTTATTTTTTTTTGTTCATTGTATTATCACCGATACTCTTTTTCCTCCTTTCTACTTTTCGATTTTTTCTGTTTTAGAAGACGACGACATCGATGGTGCGCTTGCGGAGAGTAGGAGCCGTCGATGAGGGCAGCGGCCGGGAACAGTCGATTTGCGCCGACCGGGACAAATCGATGGATTGTTGTGACAATGGGAAAACGGGATTGATTGGCGGAGGAAAAACAAAAATGAACGACACGTTTCGCGAGCGCAGCGCAATTTGATCGACGGTCGTTTGTTTGAATTGAATTTATGATTCGGTTATCTCTGCGTAAAGAAGGACGCAACAATGGCAAGAGACATAGAAAATCTCATGAAGGCTATATACATGAAGGCGCGGCGAACGTTGTCTCGGATTCTCATATTAAATTTGCTCTTGCGCTCGTCTGCGCCGGCTACTCCGGCGGCTCTCGACCGTTTGGTGGCGGCGGGCGACGGCTACGGCGGCGATTATCGACCACCCCTTGTTGGCGGCGACGGTACGGCGGCGATTGACCCCTCCTCCTCCCCCTCCTCCCCCTCCAAAAGGTGTAGATATTCCAGAGGTTTCAAGGGCGGGCAAGAGGGGGAGGACACGAAGTGATTGGTTGGGCGCGCGCGGGCAAGAGGAGAGGAGGAAGAGGACGAGACAGACAAATTCGTGTTTTCGTGGCGGCGGACAAATTCTCTTTGTCTTGATTCTTAGTATAATACTATAATCGATCAGGAACGGGCGGCGCACTCTCTCGCCTCGACTGGTTGGTTAGTTCTATAAGTCAAATCGGCCCCTCTTAAAGGGCCTGAATTGGCGTGTTGTTGTTGTCGTTGTCTTCTCCATTCACTGTCGGGGCTCTGCTCACGTTGGTTGGTCGTCTGGTCTTCGCCGCCAATTTCGTGTCGGGTGTAGATATTTTTCGAACGTGCCTTTTGCCCCCCCCGCCCCCCCCCGTCTTACCCTTTCTCTCATCTCTAGTTTTTCGGATTACAGTTCTCTATATGCGTTTACGGTGTGTTGCGCGATATACGGTAGTTCGGTCTCCCCTTGTTTTCGGAGTTGGGGTTGGCGATGATGATGATGATGATGATGATGATGATGTATTCTTTAGTTTGTCTTTTTTTGAATTCCCTATGATGATGATGCCCGACTGTTCGTGAGGTGGGTACGAGGAAGATTACAATATGTGAAAGCATATTAATGATTATAATATGTGAAAGCATATTAATCTTAATTGGTAATTGAGAAGTAGACTCAGTCTGATAGTTTGTACAGAAGAGGGGGGGTGGGGGCGGAGGCTGCCGCCGGCGGCGGCGACGGTGGCGACGTGAAGAGGGCAGCGGGATGCCTGAGTGACAAGCGACCAACGACCAAAGTCTACTAATGAACACTGCGCGGGGCCGGTTTTTCTTTGGAAGCAATTGATTTCTGCTGCATTTATTGAAAAATGCAGAAGTACCGACGGCGGCGGCGGCGGCGTGAAGAGGGCCGGGGGATGCCTGAAAGTGACAAGCGAGCGAAGTCGAATGTCGAATGCTGCTGCTCGGGGACGATTGTTACCTTCGGAAGCGATTGTTGAGTTCTGCATTTATTGAGAAATGGAAAGGGGTTACGGAATATAGATAGAAAATGGAAAAGAAGCAGAAGTGGACTCTTCGCTTGCTTGGATGACAAATCGATCGGACGGTCGACGGATTGCGTTTCGGATGTGACACATCAGAGCGTAATTGATGATGATGATGATATGATGACGATTACTTGGTCGACGGATTGCGTTTCGGATGTGACACATCAGAGCGTAATCGATGATGATGATGATGATGATGCTGTGACGATTACTTGGTCTTCGGGAAGGAAGACGAGTGTGGACATCTGGACGAACACGACGTTACGGAGGTGACACATTAGAGCTTAATTGGTTGATGATGATATGACGACTAATTGTTGATCTTCGGTAAGGAAGACGATGTGGACATCGACGATGACGTCGTGACGACGATCGACAATGGCGTGCGACGACAACTCGATCGGACGGTGGACGATTGCCTCTCCCTGATTCTACCGCACATCTGTAGATAACGTGATTTTTTTGGTGTTTTTTTTTTTTGTTTTTTTTTTTTTTGCGTTTTCTTTGTTGAATTTTGAAGTGCTCGTAAATTTTCTTAAATTTCTTTTTTCTTCGGTTTCCCGTTGGCAATTCGTTTTGTTGATTCTTAAGTGTACAGAATGTGTGACTGGCGTCTGTGTGATCTCAACCCGCGACGTTAAAATTCGTTAAACATCAAGAAGGCGGCGGCGTAGTACGTGAATTCACACGTCCATCTACCGTCGATTAATTCTGGGATTTCTTTTGCAATTCCGGGATTTCTTCCCCCTGCCGAAGGAGGACCCGTCACGTTTAAAAGAGGGTGTTGATTGATCTTTTGAATTATTAGCTAGCTAGCGGGATGGACTGGTCTCTCTTTAGGTGGTGTGGAGAGAGAGAGCGAAAGAGAAAGAGGGAGGACAAAGGAGTATCACAGCAAAAGGACGAGCAAGCAGGGACGGAGGGGGAGGGCCTTGCGCGCGTGTTTATGAGAAGTCTGACGACGTGAGATTCTGTTCCTATTTCTCCTCCGCGGAGGTTGTCTAAGCAATATCCGTTAAGACGTCCACTGAAGGCATATATAGTCACACCAGCTGAGGAGCTTTTTCGACCGAGCACTGAGCTAATGAACGTCAGATGCATCCAGAATTCATGCCGTATTTGCAGTCCGGTTCATTCAGGAAAGTGCTCGACGTGTGAATACGCCCCTGACTCTGTTAGAAGTTCCTTCAAAAAGATCATCGGGCGAATTACATTATATGCTATATTCAACTGGGTGTCTCCAACACACTAGGACCATTTCGACTGAGCTCTGACGTAATTGCGGTCAGATGCATCCAATTCATGCCGTATTTGCAGCCAGATTCATTCAGGAATGTGCGCATGCGAAGACCTCCTGACTCTGTCAGAAATTCGGAAAGATCATCGGGCGTGCTTACATTTCGACATTCCATAAGGTTTTTCCAAAGAGACTGATAAGAAAAGTGTAGACAAGAGGACAGAGCAGGGAGAGCTGCAGGGAGAGGGCGTGCCTTATTGTTTGCATTTTCGACGTCGTGGCAACTTGACATCTTGCTTTTGCCACTGGGGTTTGCCCAGAGTGGCGAAGGAGGAGAGGTGTATTCAGGCGTATTTGCAGTCAGATTCATTCAGGAATGTGCTCATAACGACTATATTTGGGAAGAAGGGAGAGAGTCTCTGTGCGTCGTCTCTGAGTTAAAGGAGAAAAGAAGGGTCCTTCCTTCCGGGGGACATCCGTCAAAATTGGAACGATGCAGAGGTGGGCATAATCGAAAGAAGGGTCCTTCGGGTGGACATCCGTCAAAATTGGAACGATGCAAAGGTGGGCAGAATCGAAAGAAAGGTCCTTCGGGGTGGACATCCGTCAAAATTGGAACGAATGCAGAGGTGGGCAGAATCGAAAATGGCACAAATGGGCACCGGGCGACGAGCGAATCTCAGCGAACGGTGTTGTCGTCGTGAGGAGAACATGAAGGAATTATGATGAAGGAATGTGGTCCCCACCTTCCATCCTTCAATGCAATGCTGAGTCTGTGCGTCGATGATCGGCTGCTGCGGGGACATAGGAAACGTTTGGAACGGTTGCTGGTTGGCTGTCCTGATGGAGTTTTGTGATTCAGGCTCGTCGGTCAATTCATAATGGATCCCGAATGGGAGACATCGTAAGGTGTTGGCGACGAGTGGGGGAGGGAGGGAGGGAGGGAGGGAGGTGGTTCGGCGAGGAGGAGCTTGTAGCGCCCGGGGTCGGCTCGTTCTTTACTGTCCGTGATCGAAGAGGAGGATCGTTGTTGAAGACTCAAAGGTAGGCGGGGAGTTGTTTGGCAGAGCGGGCGGATTGTTGGGGGCGGCAGGAAGGAAAAAGGGGGGGTAGGATTAGAGGAATCCTTATTGATTGATTGATTGATTGATATGTGATTTACTGGTCAAAATTTTTGTCCGTCTGGCTTAATATTATATCATCCTGAACGCGATTCCTATGTGCTCGTCAGTTTTTCTTTTGGACGTTTGCATTGTATTATATNAAATTTTTGTCCGTCTGGCTTAATATTATATCATCCTGAACGCGATTCCTATGTGCTCGTCAGTTTTTCTTTTGGACGTTTGCATTGTATTATATACTACTGGTCTACGGAGCGGATGCTCGTTCTCGCTCGTCCTATACGCCATCGGATTCCAGTCTGTGTTGCGTTTTGGAGGTGCTCCAATCTCTCTCTCTCTCTCTCTCTCTCTCTCTCTCTCTCTCTCTCTCTCTCTCTCTCTCTCTCTCTCTCTCTCTCTCTCTCTCTCTCTCTCTGTATTCGAATCTGTGTTCGCGGCGTCTTCTGCGATCTTCCATAATTGTGCTGTTATATATTTCCTCTCCTCAATTCGAAAGAATGTCGATCTCTACGACTTGACACGACCGCATTGTTTTGCGACGAAGCAGAGGTCGTGATGCTGCCGCCAATCTTTGGCTGAGTGACAACGCCATCTCTGCAAAGCTCTGGCCGCAGCGCTTGTAACTGCCTGCAGTCCTTGTGCTATTGATGTGTACGATAATGTGCTGCACGCACACACACACACACACACACACACACACACACACACACACACACACACACACACACACACACAGAGTTGGAAATCTAGATTTTTTTTTTCTCTTGAATAGGACGTAAATGCATGTAATCGAGAGGTGTATTACAGTTCGACTCACAAAGAGGAGGAGAACGGGAGGGCGGACTTGTGCTGTAAATCTCCTGTCTATTATTAACCCGATATGCGTACCAAACTCTCGTCCCCCATTCTTTTTTTCGAAAACATTTAGATTGTTTAGATTGAATTTTTTAGGTCCACTGGAATGATTCGCAACCGGTTCGCTGGTCATCGGCGAAACCTCAATGGCAATTTCATTGACTGATGAGACTAAGTGATTATGGCAACTGTCATTGACTGATGAGACTTAGTATAGTACATTCCAGTGGAATGTACTATGTGATTGGTCATAGACTGCGATTACGTTGCGATTACGTTCAAAAGGATGATGGGTGGTCCCACGACGGTCTGCCTGCCTGCCTGCTTGGGCGTCCTTGGGCGTACTCGAACGCGATTCTTCTGGGTTGAAAATCTTTCCACACGTTTAGACAAAAGACATCCTGTATGACACGTTTAGACAAAAGACATCCTGTATGACACGTTTAAGACTAAAGACGTACTAGTATTATGTGATGGATGTGAGGCGTTCTTTTTTTTGCGTTTTCGTCTAGACCGTTCGTTCAGTAGCATTCTGTTGGTCGATCTGAGCTTGCTCTCGTGTGCGTTATCGTTATCTCCGCGTCATGACCGTAAAATGTGGCGTCGTCCAACCGTTGGATCGTCGCACACCACGGTGGTGCCCACGTGTACAGGAAAAGGACGCATTGATGTAAAGCACTATAGCAGTTCTCCTCTTCTTCGTCTGTGCAAGTAGATGTTAAGATTTAAGTGTTAAGTAATTTCCCCGTTGTGTACTCCTACCTGACGGTGTCTTCCGGTGTCTGCAGTTTCCCTTTCTCACTGCAGTCTCTCTCTCTMTCTCTCATACTGCACAGTTCCTCTCTCTCACACTGCACAGTCCCTCTTTCTCTCTCTCTCTTCCGTGTCCATTTCATTTCTGCTTCGCAAAAGGTCCTGCATTACACTGTTAACTGTAAATTGTGTGAATTGCCCCATTGTATACTCTTGAGATTGTGTGAATTCCCCCGTTCTATACTGCTATCCGACAGGGTTTACCTCTCTTCTGCGTTCTATACCCCCCGCCCCCTCCCCTAAATTGTGTGAAATCCCCCGTTCTATACTGGTATCTGACAGGGGTTACCTGTCTTCTTCTGCGTTCATTTCTGCTTCGCAGGCTCTGGTGTGCATGGCACTGATGACTTTTGTGTTGAATGAATGCTTCGTTAGAACGTGTGTGCTATATGAGTCTCGCCTTTCGCTGTGTTGACTCAGCAACGATGGACGAAATTCGTGATCCATGCGTGGGTCGTCTTTGTAGAGACGGACGCTCGGGGGAGGGGGAGGGGCAGGATTTCGCTGTCGGTGGTGAGACTGTTTGCGGCCAGACGCGCTTTGCGTTGTCGTCAACGCTTCAAGGCGCCCCGCACCGCATCTCACGGGTCCTAATGCCGCTTTGGTAGAGACAGAACACGTGGCTTCTTCTGAAGCCGTCTGCACGCTTGTCCTTTTCCTCCTCTCTCTCTCTCTCGAAGATGAAGAAGATACGTCTAGCGTGCCCTTTCACCTTATTAAAGGACGGGTGCCATTTGACCTTATTAAAGGACGGGATGGGGGCAAACGTTGCCGCGAACCGAAGCCTTTTTCGAGAACGAGTGCATGCTGTCCACAACATGCCTTTCTTTCTTATTTGGCCTTCGGATCGCCCTCACAAGTCTTCTGTGTGATTTGTATTCGAAAGGTGAATGAATGTTTCGCCCCAATAGAAGATAATAGCTGTATTCGATTGTTTGCTTGCTTGCTTGCTTGGACATGTGTACTCTTCGAGATGCTGTGCCTTTGTGGTGTGCTATCGGGAATGTTCGGCGTGGGTTAAGGGACAGAGAGAGAGAGAGAGAGAGAGAGAGAGAGAGGAGATGATGGACTCCTTTGTGTTCTGTTCCTGAGGGAAATGGGTTTGGAAAAGTATGACGCCTACTGGGGTATGGCAGAAGGCAGGAAGACGGATCGCTGGCGGATAATGAGGAGAGAGGGGAAACACCCTTGGAGCCGTCGGTTTCACCTGTGCATGTTTTTCGGCACAACATGCTTCCTGGACAATTGCACCGCACAAATCGCGGGCGCGTAGAGAGAGAGAGACACACACACAGAGAGAGAGAGAGAGAGAGAGAGAGAGAGAGAGAGGACGTGTTGAGTGTCGTCGGAAAAGCGACCCACGATGAGTTTGCTGCGAATGGGTATCATTTGATCATTGGGGTCTGCGATATGCCGTTGTTGGGGGGGTATAATGGAGGAAGGCCTCTCGTAAGAGAGAGAGAGGAGGGGGTATAATGGGGTTCAAACCCGACAGGGCTGTGTGGGCTGATTGGCTGCCAAACGGGGATTAGTACTCGTCTGTCGAGGAAGGTGGCTGATGGACTTTGGGCACGAGGGGATGGAGAGGGGAGTCTCTCGGTATTAACGAAAGGGGGGCAAGGTGCCTTCGTTGCCGCGTCAATGGCCATTCAAGGGCCTACAGTAGTGGTAGCTAGATGTAAATGGGGGGTGGACAGTGGCTCTACGTCGATTGTCCGTGGAATATTTGATTTGCGGCTGACTGTTTGAAGGGGGTAGAGAGAAAAATCGAGTGGTCATCGAGGGGTCCCAGGGGTCTTGGCAGTCCACTCGTGTACAAACGTGAACGTTGTTGTTGATGACGTCATCATCGTGACCGGTGAATGTCTTCGTTAACAGTTTGAAACTGCTCCATCTGCTTTCGATTCGGCAGGTGCCATTCTTTACCTCGTACTCTGTATATATATATATATATATATATATATGACGACGATGGATGATGACGACGACGATGGATGACGAAGATGGATGATGACGACTACAATGATGAGGACGATGGATGATGGATGATGGATGTGGTAATGATGTGATGAGGCTTTTCATATGAAATCCAATGCGCGCCGAAACGTTTGGTGGCTATTTGGTGGCTAAATTTCATTCCCTCGGTACAAGAGTTTCGTCGAAGTCAGTTTCGCTTTCCGAATATTATTATTCTTGAATCATTTCCAGTTTCTTAACCGCCCTTGTTTTTCCGTCCTCAAGCCTCTCCTTTCTCCCTCCCCCTCTCCTCGTTGCCTGCGCGCCTGCCTGTGAGCTTCGGTCTGTCGGTCGACTCGACTTTCCACCACGTTGTGGGCTTCTGCGTGTGGGCGTGGGCGTGCGTGTGCGTGTGTGCGTGTGACTGCGCCTCTGTGTGTGTGTGTGTGTGTGTGTGTGTGTGTGTGTGTGTGTGTGTGTGTGAGAGAGAGAGAGAGAGAGAGAGAGAGAGAGAGAGAGAGAGGATATGGGGCTTGCTTTGTTAGGAATTCAACTGACCAGCAGTTGAGATGATTATTATTGTTGAGCTCTAAATGGAAGCATTTTTTTTTTTTTTTTTTTTAATTAAAAAGGCTAAGTTGAAGCATTTTCAACTTGTTTTGTTCACGAAAGGATCTTTTTTTATTATTTATAAACGTAGTGCCCAAGGCTATACATCATGTAAGGTGGCCAACGTGTATGTATTTTTTATTGTTGTTTTTGTTGAGAAAATCCAGATCTATATTCAACGCTGGGAAACGAGCCCAGCCGACTCTGAAGGTCTTGTAAGAAAAAGACAGCGATGTGAAAAAAAATAATTCTTCTCGAGAAAAAAAAAAAAAAAGACAGGGATGTTGTGACTTGCGGTTCGGACACTTGTCGGACGAATTTTTTATTTTTTTTAAACAAATCACGGAATTTTGTCGACTAAAAAAAAAACTTTGTCGACTGAGCTCGGGACGTCGGATACATCCGGGGCCAAGTCCCACTAGCAGCGTTGAGCTACCTCAACGCCTGAATCTGGACGTGATTGTGGAGATGTGCAGAAATGGTGTTGAGTTTCCTGAACTGCACGTCTCCACGAACACGTCCAGATTCAGGCGTTGAGGTAGCTCACCGCTGCTAGTGGGACATGGCCCCCGGGCAAGGTGTAGGTTTTATTTATTTATTTTTTTTTTTCAAAATTTGGACCATTTCCCGATTTATATGTGTCCTCCTTGCGCAGGGCGGAACGGAGCACACTAGCACCTTTTTCCCCCGAATACAACGTACTGTCATTATAGCTGTATCTAGACTGAAAGATGTCGCAAATGCAGATATAATGACCGTACGTTGTATTCGGGGGAATAAGGAGCTAATCTTCTGTGTGTATAGGATGTCCCGAAGGTCTTTTTGTTTTTTTTTTTGGGTCCCGAAGGTCAGTTGTGTAGTGTTTTCTTTTTTGTTGTTTGTTTGTTTTTGTTTCTGGTCAGAAATATGCAGACAAGTCGGCGTGCAGTACGCATCTGGGCTGATTTTTTTTTTTTTGTGTGTGGGGGGCGGCCGCGTGGGAAAGCCGGCCAGCCTGGTAAAATACCGGCAGGAAACCGCCTTAAATAACGGTCATGATATTCTAACGCGTTTTTTTTTTGTTTTTTTTTCCTGTAACGCGTTYTTTTTTTTTTTTTTTTTTTTTTTTTTTGGAGAAACTTAACATTTCCATTCCATTGAGACCACAGCGGCCGGGGAACACACCCCTACATATCAACTCGGTACAAACCTGTTGAGGCCAATACTCAGCTTTAGGCACCTGGAAACGGGGTCCAGTGTCCCTTAAACCACCAGTACTTGGCCCAGCTATGGGCCGCGGAAAAAAACAGAGTAGAAACGTTTCTAGTTGGATGAATGTGGACACTCCTGTAGTGGTCCGTACGTTTTCTAAAATTGCATAGAGGTAAGGCTACGCCACTTTAGGAAGTACTGGTGGTTTAAAGGAATCTCCGAAAATAAAAATTCCAAAGCAAATCTATGTCAGTATACTATCCTTGCTGCACAGGAAAACACCGGCATGTTTCTAGAATAGAAACACTACTGGCAAAGAACGACGAGCTATGAACTGCAAATCTCGAATATGCACAAGGCAATTCATGAAAATTTTACAATTTAATCCTAAAGTTATTTCCAAAGGCGAACTAAATTCTTAGATGTAATTCAATTCCAAAATTCAGTCCAGTCCCTTCGGGACATCCGTTAAAATTGGAACGATACAGAGAAGATTAGCATCGCCCCTGCGCAAGGATGACACGCATAAATCAAGAAATGCAAAAATAAAATAAAATAAAAATCAGTCCAAGTACATATTCAGTTTAATCTTAATCGAAACTGGAACTGCTCGTATTAATATTGTCTACAGTAAATAAACGATTCAATACAACCAAGGGAGCAGAAAAAAAAGAGGGGGGGGAGAGATGTGTAACCATGCCCACCAATTATATGGGAGGAAAAGATACGAGCAAGATTCCCCGGCGACACAGAGTCGAGCGTAGCACGCTTGTGACGTACTAGTTCCGGATCTGCGCCATCTTCCTCACCCCTTCCTTTTTGTTTTCCCTGCAGCCAGATGTGTACAGTCTGACCCCCCTCCCCTCCCCTCTCTGTCTATGCCCGATTAAAGGTACCTTGCGGAAATCTGTCAGCTCCTTTCCCTTTTTTTTGTTCTCGAGTGAAAATGCGTGGGAATTTCGCGCGCCTTAATGAGTGCGCTTGGAATTTGGCTCGGCAGTTAGAAATCCCAGAATTGTCGGAATACCGCGCGACCTTCCGCGCGCGAATGTTCTCGGCCTCGACCTTGAAAACTCTGGGAAATTCTTATACGAATATGGATCGACGGAAGATTTTTTCTTTCCCGCGTCTGTTTTGCGCCCGGATATGGTATTTTCAATTTTTGAATTAGCATAGGATTGGGAAAAACTGCAACTGTTTTGGCGCCCATTTCGCTCTTGCCGACCGGCGCCATGCCAGCAAGCTCCCTCCTCCTTCCTCCCTTGCGTTCCTCTCACCATCCTTCTTCGAGCGCACACTCTTCCTCGCACCCGCCCCCTGTAACTGTTTTTCCCTCCCTTTCCTCAGCACGCGCCTTTTTTTTCTTTCTCCTTCTTGATCATCTGAATCTTGGACCCGTTTTGTGCTATTCTTCGCGCTCCTCTTCTTCCCGCTCTAAAATCCGCGCTTGAAAACCCAGTCGATTCTCTCCCCCCACCTCTCCCCACCTAACCAAGGAGAAGCGCCGTGTAAGTTCTTATAAACGGCTACTTGCAAACTCACCTATGCCCTCCTCTACCTCGCCCTTCACCCTTCTCCTCATCTTTCTCTCTTCTCGCAACTATATATTCCGCCGACGCCCTCGCAAAACCCTCTCTCTCAACTCATCGGCCAGCTTCCGGGAAGTAGTGGCTAGGTGATGTGTATGGTGCGAGTCGGAAAGTCCTCACGAGCCGACTGTAGACTGGCTGGCGGTGCGCTAGATCGCCACGACGGACTGTGGGATCCAGGCAAGCCACGTCAAGACTAAGTTGGCAGGGTGACGATCGCAGTGGTGGAGGATGACGCGCGACGGCCGGGACCGTCGGTGTCGGAGTGCAGACAAGTGATCTGAGTTGAGTGGATGACTGGCCCGGACCGTCGGTGTCGGAGTGCAGACAAGTGATCTGAGTCGGTGTCGGAGTGCAGACAAGTGATCTGAGTTGAGTGGATGACGTGAGCTTTCTTTTCCTTTTTCCGCACCTTCTGTTTCTCCTGACTGGCCTTTCCGATTCGATTGCTATAATTGCATGCACGTGATAAGCGGTTAAATTATTTTCGATTGTGTGCCGTGTGGACTAACGGACTCAACCCAATTAGGCGACAGCCTCCCGTATCCCCTCTCCGCCCCTTCCTGTATAACGAGGATAAGACGCGTATCTGTGAGTGGGACATACGAGAAGTCGTCGCAAAGATCAGTGGACAATACTATTTCCCTCCTGAAAATCGGTGTTCTGGGTTTGTAGGCGTCGGGTTTGTCATTGTGGATACGTAGTTCCCGCCGTATTCGCTACTACTACCCTTTAACGAATTAATCGTCATCCCGTGGTCGGCACTTGCACCCCATTGGCCTAACACCTTGTGTAGTGATTGCCAACGTCTCGATCACTACCAGTCCAAAGGGTTCCATTACTGAACACGGAACGAGGACAAGCAAAAGGAAAGGGCCACGCGATTGAGACCATCTACGTCGGACTCAGAGTTGTGTAGCGTGCGGCGTCGGGAACTAGTGCGAAAACGGGATACTAAACACGTGCCCGCTCCCTTCCACTCCAAACGAAGAGCCGTGGCCAGGTGGGAAGTCCGCCAGTACTTCTTCGATTGAATTCAAAACTTCCCCGCATCGCGAATCCCACGCGTATCGAAACCCGCCAGATCGCTCACTTCATCAGACCAACACGGGGGATTTCAATTCTGTCTGTATCCCCACACTCAATTTTCCAAAAATCCTTGGCACACCCCATTTTGCTATTTTTCGGGGCCTCCTTTCCGCACCAGTAGCACTTCGAACGGAAAACAGCGCAGGGCGTAAGGTTGCGCGTCACACACTCCCCACACCACTCGAGGCATGGGTGACCCTGTGAATCACCACTACCTTCTTCCCCCGAATACAACGTACGGTCATTATAGCTGTATTTCGGGTATCTTTCAGTCTAAAGACAACTGTAGTGACCGTACGTTGTATTCGGGGAAGAAGGTTGTGAGTCTCCCACTCCTGCTGATGGCGCCGCCACCCAAAGGGCTTTAGGGCTTTACAACAATCAAAGTTTCGATGATCTACAACACATCAAACTAGCAGAACAAAAAAACATTAGGGTTACCCTCTCAACCTCATTATCCAAAGCACTGTAAAGAGCCTTTGTTGCCTAGACAGGTATCCCACCGCGCACCCAATGGATACAACTTTAGTTTGCTCTTCACTGGGTCTCACAAATCATCCTAACCCTGTGGGTATCACCCCAAACCACTACAAACATGGCCCACTGCTTAAGAACCTACTAAAGCGAGACCAAAAGGGAAAAGGACAAACAACATAATATGACATAAGCGTGAGG